ATTGCTTTTTGATTTTCCAGCTTGGTTCACGTGATTTCGGGCAAGTAATGGGCCTACTTCGTTCCCTTTTTTGTTTAATAAAAGTTTGATGGGCCTTTTATCAATAAAACGTTCATGGCCCGGGAAACTGCTTTCTTATATGAAAAGCTTTTAGATAATGGTTTAAAAAGTGCATAGACTACACAAAAAATTTTAATTAAGTATTTATTTTTATATTATAATTAATTAAATTTTTATTTTAAATTAAATAAGTTTTTATACTTAATGATTAACTAATTATCATTCGTCAAAATGTCACTTATCATTTTTTATATCACGTGATAATAATGCGATGTTTGATATGAATTTTAAAAATGATTAACTAATACCATGTATTATAAAATGATAAATAATATTTTGATTAATAATAATTAGTTAAACATTAGTTAAGATTTTATTTGATTCAAAATAAAAATATAAGATTTTGATAGAAAACAATAAAAATATAAATTTTATTTTTAAGTATTTTATATTCTTTTTATTTATATAATATTAGACAAAGTCTGTCTACTTTTCTTACAATTTTAACATTTTTCACATTTTAAATAGTGTTATTTTGGTTTAATTAGTTAGATTCCATACAACATACTAGAGTTGCCTTTTGGGTTTAGAGACTTATTAGCTGGATAACATTCAATATACAATACTATTTATGCTACTTAAAACTGTAAATTACTTGGATTCATGTCATGTCCTTGAAAGTAACATAAATTTATAATGAGTTATAAATACAAAACAGTTGAAATTACTTGGGAAAAACAACCATCAAGCTGAAGTGAATTACTTGTACGAATTGAATTACTAGAAATCGAAAAGATATTACATGTTTGCTTGGGCCTTTGGCCCATTTGATAAGTTTAACTCTAAGCCCAACCGGTTGGGACTCCCGGTATGGAACAAATCAGCACCCTAGCCTGCAATCTTACCCACAGCAGAGTAAATCTTTATCCTCCGACTCCCTAGGACAGCCCCAAAATGTTGGACCTGGTCCAACATGGCCCATAGGCCCTTGGGCTGAGACTCCAACTGCCTAACCGATGCTAGGAGTTGGCGGTGGAACCCAAAGGGCTTCTTCGATGGCCCAAAAGCACATTCCAGATGGATGTCCACGTTGCAAGCGTCACACTTGTACCGCCACGACGTGCATGTGCGGTGACACACCATACACCACCTAGGCTCCGCTTGCCGGAGCATCAAGAGGTGATGTGGATGGCCAGCGTGTTGTACCTGTGACACCACTTGAGTGCAAAGTGGATGTACATCAAAATTACAAACGTGACACGTGAAAAATTATCACGTCGACATTTTCTCCACACAGATCAAACACGAGTCCCATACCTTGTTAATTCACAAGAGTTAACACGTGCTGAGGGTGCAGGCAAACATGTGGCACGATACTCGTGTAGATCAAAGTTGCACATGGGGCAACGGTAGCTCCTTCCATGCCCTAAAGTGTTGCAGGCGTCACATATGTATTCTTGTGCTATGTAGCGCTCAGTAACAAGATGGTTTGGATGGGTGAAATGCATAAAACTTTAGGGGTTTTGAGATGAAGCTCTTTGTAATGGTGCCATTGTTGTTAGCAATGGAGGAAGGATTAAAACTTGAAAGACTTTAGACTTACATGCCCTGTCATGTTTTTTTATAATCAAGTGGAATTAGTATAAAAAAACCCCTAAAAATAAATTATTGTGTACGTTATTATATTAAGTGAAATCAAACAGCAAAAACAAAAGGCAGCTGGGATTTTTATTTCTTGTACTCCATTGGCTCAAGGATTACAAAAGCTTTGTCAGTTTCCATTTTATTTATTACACTGACGGTGAAGTTAGAATCATTTAATCTCTTTTTTTTAACTCATGGGGAGTTGACAAAGTTCCTGTCCACTCACACTGGAATATGTGTATCTAAGTTTGGTAGCAAACAAAATATAAATGTCTAAATCAAGAGAAATGGGATGATATGGTAGCAAACAAAATATTATACAAATGTCTGAGCCCGGGTTCGAACCGGGGACCTCTAGTGTGTGAGACTAGCGTGATAACCAACTACACCACCCAGACAATTGTGAGCCTATCTTTATGAGACAACTATATTTTCCTAATTTATCCAAACAAATTGATGAATTTTATTTTCAACCTTATGCTTTAAAAAATTCATAAATTATTTAAAAATTTTAAATAAATTCTTATTTTTTTATTATTTTATTTTAAATTAAATAAATATGTATAATTAATGGTTAACTTAATTAAAATATCACTTGTCATTCTATATAACATGACCATGCTGATATGTCATAGTTGATGATGACATAATATATTAATGTGGTATGCTGATATGATTATGTGATATCTTTTATTTTTAAATCAGTATCATGTCGAATAAAATGATAAATATTTAATTATTAGTTATAATGGTTTATTTAAGAAAAAAAATTAAAATATAAAAACTTAATTTAATGCATCAAAAAGACAAAAAATACTTATTTAAAATTTTCTTAAATAATTTAAGCATTTTTTCAATTATTATGTCAAAATTTTCTTTTCTCTTATGATTTCTTTGATATTTTATTTTCCCCATGGACCTTTGCTTTGACAATATCTTCTATACTACCCACCATTTATATGTGAAAGAGCTCATAAATTCAAATTTATTTTCCTAAAGTTATATATAAAAACAAAAAGAAATAAACAAAGAACTAAAGGAGGTAATAAAATAAAAGCTTTAGACATAGTAAAAACAAAAATGAGAATGAAGCAATATGTGTTTTTAAAAATCTATTTAATGAATGATAATAGTATTCATATTTCTCCCTCCACATTTAAAAACAAAAAGAAAAGTGAAAAAGATTACTCAAATCAAAAGAAAAAGGCATGAATGGACCAACTACATCAAAATTTGACTTTTTCGTTTTGATAAAAAGATATAATATATAAAAAATGTTAAACTATTTAAATTTTTTTAAATAAAATCTTATTTTTTATTATGTTCAAACAAAATTTTATATTTTTATTTTGAAACAAAATAGGTATTTATTATTAACTAACATTTGATTAAAATTATTATTAAATGTTATTTATTATTTTATGTTACGTGATATGTCGTTGCGAAGGATGACGTGAAACACTTATGTGACAAATATTTTCACTTTCAATGTCAATTTTACGTTAATATTACGTTAATATAAAAAAATTGATTAATATTTTGATTAATAATAATTAATAATTAATTATAATATTTTTTAATTTAAAATAAAAATATATAAATTTAATTAAACATAATAAAAATAAAATTCATTGAAATAATTTAAAATTTTTTAAAAATATTATGCCATAAAATTGTAATCTCGATCCAAAAAATAAATTCATTGAATTTCCATAAGATTTATTTTGAATGAAGACCTTCTTATTTGCTAACCATTTGGTGACCATCCCAAATAGTACCCGAAGTAGACAGACGGGTCACCAATTTTCACGTGCCATCGACGTTCCTATCAACGTAATAAATCCAAAAAAGCCTTTTTAAATCCCTTCAAACGACCCCCTAAAATCCCAACAAAACATTTCCCTCTCTGTTTACTACCCTTTTCCACCCAAAAGAAAAAGAAAGAAAAATGTCTTCTCTTCCTCTCTTCCTCTGCTTCTTCTTCTTGACTGCTTTCGTCACGCTCTCGACGGCCCTCACTTCCTCCCCTTACCTTTCCCACACGATCCTCCCTCAGAATTACCAGAAAATGCTAAAGAACTTCAAAATTTACGTTTACCCACCGCCGGAAACGCTGTCGTTTGACTCCAAAGTCGAATCCCTCTTTTATTCTTCTCTTCTCCACAGTCCCTTCATTACTCAAAACCCCGAAGAAGCCCATTTGTTCTTCCTCCCCTTCTCTTTCCACTCCGACCTTTCGCCACGCTCCGCCGCGCGCGTTGTCGGAGATTATCGTACGGAATTTATTTACTGGAACCGGACCCTCGGAGCTGATCATTTTTTCCTTTCTTGTTCGGGTGTCGGCCATGGCTCGGACCGGAATGTGGTCGAGTTGAAGAAAAACTCGGTTCAGATCTCGTGTTTCCCGACGACGCCCGGGTTGTTTATTCCTCATAAGGATGTTAGTTTACCCCCACTTGCTAACGTTCACGCTCCAGCTCACGCTCCGGGAAGCAAGAGTACGAGTCATTTGGCTTACGTGAGGTATAATTGGGTGAAAGAGTCGAACCTGGTGGAACAGCTTTTAGCTGATCCCGAGATTTTGGTTGAATCTGAGCCGTCGGATCAGATGACTTACGAGGAAAGACTTGCCGGGAGTAAGTTCTGTTTGTTCGAGTACGGGCCGGAGATATCGGGGATCGGCGAAGCAATGAGTTTCGGTTGCGTACCTGTGGTGATCACCGACCGTCCGGTCCAGGACATGCCGTTGATGGATTTACTGACGTGGCAACAGATCGCTGTGTTCGTGGGGACAAGCGGCGGGGGCAGGGAGATCAAGAGGGTATTGGGACGCGTCGTGGTGGAAGGGTACGAGGAAATGAGCGGATCCGCTGTGGTGGCGAGTAAGCATTTTGTGTGGAACGAGACCCCGCAGCCGTATGATGCGTTTCACATGGTGATGTATCAGCTGTGGCTGAGAAGGCATACCATCAGATATGCGGAGAGAGAATGGGCTTAAAGTATAAAGCATTTAAAGTGTTTGTAGCTCGTTTATTTATTTGTTGACTTCAGAACTGTCTACGATGGTGATGACGTAATTCTCATATCTGTGATTTTTTTTTTGGTGTTGTAAACTATAATTTTGGCTGGTTTATACAAATAGTATTAATAACATTTTATAAATTAATTATTTTAATAATTCCAATTTTTATATATTTTTCATTAATTTAATTCAAATCCAATAAAAATAAATCAAATTAAAAAAACATCAAAAGCGTGCAAAGATCCAAATTCCAATAAGCAAGTAGGCAATCTTTGCGCTAGAACAAAAAACAAAAATGTCATTATTAAATTCCCGTCCTTTAACCATCTCGACCTTCCAACCCCAATCTCTTCATCCTCACTTCCCCAACCACCTCCATACTCCCTCTGTCCCTTTTTCATCGATTCCGAATCGCCATGGCTCAAGGTAAATGAATGAAAATGAAATCCACTTTTTAGAATTAAGGTTTAAAAGCCTTTTTTCCTTGAATTTATATATTTATTTTTTCTGTAGATGGATCCGTGGAATCTGCCGCAGCTCGCTACGAGTCGGCATTGGATGCGTTGTCGTCGTTGATAACGAAACGGAGTCGTGCTGATAAGAGCAATAAGGGAGATCGCTTCGACTTGCTTTTTGATTATTTGAAAGTATAATATTTGCTTCATGATTGATTCTGTTGATTGAGTGATTTTTTAAAAATGGATTGTTTAACTGATTGCTTATTGATTTTAGATTTTGGAATTGGAGGAGGCAATTTCAGAGATGAAAATCATCCATGTAGCTGGCACCAAAGGAAAGGTACAACAGTTTTCTCTTTCTGAATCTTATTTCGGTTTTTTTTTTGGAATAATTTTTATCTTTGAAATTTATTCCTTAATGTTGATAATGTTATATTATAATAAGATGTTAAGAGTAATCTATTTTTCAGTGTTTTTACAATTTGTTAATATAAAAAATTTTAAAAGTAAAATGTCTGAAGCTAATGACAGTCATGCTACTTAAGTTTTTCAGCCTTTTCTTTATGGCTAAATATAAAATAAGGTAGTTTTTTTTGTAAAATATCAAAAGCAAATATAAGATTTGAATTAAAATATATTTATTGCACCAATCTAAGATTTGCTATATTGGTAGGTCTTTCAAATTTTAACTAAGAAATACTTTTTATTGTTTTAATGCTCTGCACCTTTTAATTTATAAGGGTATGAATGAACAAGCATTTTTCAAAATTGGTTTGAGTTTTAGGCTCTTTTACTTCTTTATACCAAGGGGAGAAAATTCTTCAGTCAAATTGGAATACCTGACTTCTGTAAATTAGGCAAGCGATGTGATAGAAATAGGCAGATAGTTCCTGTAGATAGCCTTTTAACTATTCAGCTTTCAGACTTTTTCCCCCTCTGCTTTTCTTTGCACACCGCATCAATCTGTAGCCCCATCTTTGTATCTGCCACTATTTTGATCTGTTGGCTTTGTTGAAACATAATTCATTTCAGAACTTAATCTAGAGATTACATTTTGTTTTTCTTTCTTGTTTGCATATGGCTTGTGAAGTATGATGCTAACTCTCTTTTTGTTTGGAATTTGGAAAGGGATCAACGTGCACGTTCGCTGAGTCTATATTACGTAATTGTGGGTTCCGAACTGGCCTTTTCACATCTCCTCACCTTATTGATGTTCGAGAAAGATTTCGATTGGATGGGTGAGTCTTTCAGTTCACTAGCATGTATATTAGTTTGATCTTTATAAGTTATTATCTATTGTTTTTTCTACTTGCCATTATCTAAATACTGGTTAACCACTGCTATCTATTTTTATTTACTATTTTAGATATTATAATCTTTCCCATTATTGCTTTGGTGCTTTGGTAAATTTCTTGTCTTTCTTGGCTGCTCCAGGGTGGAAATATGTGAGGAGAAATTCTTGGAATATTTCTGGTGGTGCTATGATAGGCTGAAGGTATGTTTGCACTGGTGTTTCACACTGATATGTGTATGAATTCCTCCTCGGTCTTCTGCCGTTATACATGGCCATTTCATACATTATTAAGCAGGCTTTGTGGTGCAGCACTGCTTTTTATTTTTTTAAAAATTTAAATGTGTATTATAGTCTGTCCAAAGTAGTAAGTAGTAGGCTCAACAGTAAAGACTTTCTATGGTACAGGCTAGCATTGTGCATGAATTTTGTCCTAAATTATTTAGTGGGATTTGCTGGTTGTTTATCATGCTATCTTTCTCCAACAAAGTAGCAGCAGACTTAAAAGTAAGAATGCTGCATGGTAATGGCTTTTTATTTCTTTGTGGGGAATAATTTTTGAGAATCTAGCATAGCCTAGATGAAGTTGAATTCTGGTTCTGGAATGCTGCTTCTGTAGCCAACCAACCTAATAAAGGGAACGAGACTTTGTAGAATTCAGTTGTGTAGTGAAACAAACCTAAATGGGCCATATGGACTTACTTAGACTATCTGCCCTGTACAACTTGAAACCAATTCATCTGCGATATCTTTTCTCTCTCAATCCAATACAATACTTATCATTGAATAAACAGTATTGTCTTTCGAATTTTGGGCTGTCTTTGAACAATATGTTTAAACTTGTTGGCCTTTTTTTTGTTGGTTTGCAGGAAAAAACCAATGAAGATTTCCCAATGCCTACATACTTTCGCTTCCTGGCCTTGCTTGCCTTCAAGATATTTGCAGCAGAGCAGGTTTGATGTGTGTTATACCCTTCCATGTGAAGCTGTTTTCCCATGTTGCTTCTGCCATTTCATGAGCATCCTCTTTATTAAAGTGGTAATAAAACTATTGCGTTTAAATTATCTATGCAGGTTGATGTTGCTATCTTGGAGGTTGGTTTAGGTGGAAGGTTCGATTCGACAAATGTGGTATGTTTTTTAATGTTAGTACACACATGTCACTGATTCATTATATATCTGCCAAGCTAAGGTTATCAGTTATGGTCATCTTGATGCTGTTGTTTTAATTTTAGTCAGAATGTGTCATTATTTCAGGTTCAGACACCTATTGTGTGTGGTATATCTTCCCTAGGGTATGACCACATGGAGATTCTAGGTTAGTGTTATATTTTTTCACTTTAGGTAATTGCTCATAAATGTTTTGTAGTTATAAATGACATCTCTGAATAGCATTTGTAGAATGCAGTTAATGGTGTAATATATTGGCTTGTGAAATGCAATATCTGCCAAGTGGAAAACATGGAGCATTATGCAAACCTAATTATTTATCATGTTATTAATTTTCTATTATTTGTTTTTTGAGTTTTTAATTCTTTGAAGCTTACTTGGCAGATTACAATTGCTGAATAAGATTTCTGCTGGTGACAGAGGCATTTTAATTTGTATTCCAATATTTTTGTCACTGTGCAGTTACTTAGTGACAATCAATGATTTTTTTAAATCTCATGTTGGCAACTATATTTTTCAGTGCATCTGTGAGGTTTCTTGATGGGGAACGGTTAAGTTTTAAGCTTAAAATGGAAGAAAATCTAAATTATGCAGAATTTAGGGAAAAAGTATGATTAAGCTTGTTTTTGCGTGGTTTGTTAGCTACACCATATACACTTGGAAATCTGCTTAGTTTTTTTATGTGCTAACTTTCTGGTTGTATGGGAATTATAATTACTTGTGAATTATATCATTAGGTGTATGTCAAATATCTTGCTGCTTTCAGACTAATTGAAGCTAATGGTAAGTGATTTCTTTTTTTTTCTCCTCTGGATGCTATGAACAGGAAATACTCTCGGAGAAATTGCTGGGGAGAAGGCTGGTATTTTTAAGGTGTATTCTAGAATTAGATTTAGTTAAAGCATTATGATAAGAGTGTTTCCATTTTGCACATAATTTAAATCTATTTCCTTCGTTTTATGTCTGTTCTTTTTCTGATGCAGCGAGGGATTCCAGCCTTTACTGCACCTCAACCTGATGAGGCAATGCATGTGCTTGAAGAGAAAGCTTCCAAGTTGAATGTAAGTTGCATAACTCTTTCATGTCCGAGTTTCCTGATACAAAGAATAGTAAATACAAGACTTAGAACTTGCATTCAAATTCTTAAAATCACCTTGTTCTACTGGACATGAGGACCTAAGCTAGTGCTGAAAATCCTTTTCTTAACAGGTACACCTTCAAGTGGCACATCCACTAGATGCAAGCTTGCTGAATGGTCTAAAACTTTCACTTGAAGGTGAACATCAATATTTAAATGCTGGTCTTGCTGTTGCACTATGTTCTGCTTGGCTTCAGAGAACTGGTCATCCTATCACCAACTCGAATCAAACTGTAAGTTCTAACCATAGGAGACTTTCTCTGGATTCTACATTTTGTTATGGTTTTTATTCTCTTCTTTTGCTCAAAACTTATTTATCTGCTTGGAATAGGGTTCACTGCCTGAACAGTTCATCAAGGGCCTAACAACAGCAAGTTTGCAAGGGCGGGCTCAAATTGTCTGTGATCAATTTACTGGCATTGAAAGCCCTGGAGATCTGGTTTTTTATCTGGATGGAGCCCACAGTCCTGAAAGCATGGAAGCATGTGCCAGGTGGTTTTCTCTTTGCATTAAGGAAGGCAATCAGCAAGCTAACTTCAATTATCAGGCACAGGATTATACTGAATCCTCAAATGAAGTGGCACAGCAGCAACCCGACGAGAGATCTAAGAAGGATACCGCCCAGGTAGAGCACCCTCCATTAAACCACATTAGCTTCCATGTTTTTTGAAACCTAGATGATTTGTAAAAGAGAGTACACTGTCCTTGCTGAAATCAATGTTGTTTATGATTGAATACTCAGAAATTATATCTGGTCTCATTACACGCTATTCATGCTTTTCTATTTTAACAAGTCAAAAGAAGCAATCAAATATGTAGAGTGGGATGCTGGCTAGGAGGGTATTGCTTCTGTGGAAAGTTTCAGAAGTTTGATGATTGAGTTTAAAAAGCTCAAACATAACTTGAGGCAAAAGTAAATGAAGATTTTGATAATGCCTTGCACATCTCGCTATAAGCTGGTATTACTTTAGCCTAATGTATGTGCATGCACAGATAAGCATTCAGCATTGTATATTTCATCTAATTTATATTTCCTTGGTTTTATCACAACTTTCTGAACTTGAAGTTGTAGTTGAAGCATTTGGGTTACGTCTTGGTGATGCGTAAAGTTTTTGAGAATTACTTGCAGATTCTGCTGTTCAATTGTATGTCAGTGCGAGATCCACATTTGCTTCTGCCATGTTTGATGAGAACATGTGCCAGTCATGGTAATCACTTGAGTTAGAGGCATGTTTAGATATGTTTTTTAGATTTATAGAATTTAATAGCCATGTGATCAAAATCATCATAAATGCTTTTGAAGTTTGGGGATTGATTACAGTTCAAGAGCCTTGCACAAATTAATTATAGGAGGAATATATTGCTCTTTTAACATCCTAATGACACAATGAAGGAATCGCATTCCAAATCTATCCCCGTCCAAGTCTAAATGAGAATGGTATTAATGTCTTTGTTTTACTTCTAAATTAATTTGAACTCTAGAATGACATGTGTCAGATGAAAGGACACAATTTAATTGTCGTGAGATTGAATTCTACTTTTACGGCCTTCTGAAAACAATCTGAAGGGAACAAATGCTGAAGTTAGGGTATGTTGAGTTGATTTGACCTCAAATTTCTTTCTAGAATGCTTGTAGGGTCATTATAGCAAAGATAAACTTATCTTTTTTATTTTTTAAATTGAATAAAAGGTAAGATTCATCTGGACAAGAAGACACATTGCATTTAATGTCTATGGTTTTTACATCCGGACAAGAGAAATTCTATATCAAATTTTATGGTTTTTACAAGCTTTTAAATGATATTTCAGGTGTCTGTTTCAAGAAGGCACTTTTTGTACCAAACATGTCTGTGTATCACAAGGTTGGATCCCATACTTTACCAACAACTGATCCTCAAGTTGATTTGTCATGGCAATTCACTCTTCAAAGAGTATGGGAAAACCTTATGCAGGGTGATAAAGGTATCAGTCTAATATGTGGCATTACATTCTTCTTATGTTTCAAAATTCATAGTTTGGAAATTACGTTGAATTTCATAATTTTAAACTAATAAACAGTGCAAACCAATTGGTGGTAAATGGTTGAGCTTTTGCCATAGTTTGATTTCTTATGGTTTTTACTTGCCTTGGATTCTAGTTCCATTATCCTGCTTCAGATTATAAGTGAATTGAGTTTAATTATGACTATCATGAAATGTGCAAAATCATTGGAGACATGGAGCATAATTGAGGGTGCTTTTGTTCAGTTTGGTTTCTATATGATTTGTTTACTTTGTTTACTAGGAGGGGAGGCCATTAGCACAGATCAAGCTTGTGAAGAAGTGAAAGATGATACAGGAATGAGCGTTAGGAGTTGTAATAACAGTTCTGTCTTTTCTTCGCTACCATTGGCCATCAAATGGCTCAGGGATGCTGCCCAGAAGGATCGATTTGTTAGATTTCAGGTAATTCTTGTGTTTTGGGATTATATTTGCTTGACAATATGTAGTCTGCTATTGCAAATATTTGCCTGCCTCTTATGTAACAAGGTTAGAGTATCTTAGATTGAGTTCCTAGCTGTAGTCTCAGAACTTGGTGTATTCTACCTTGTTTCTGATGAGGTTGAAGTCTAGCACACGAGACCTCGAAGGTTTTAGAGTGAATGGGATTATGAATGAATCAAACCATTAGGTGACTTTTTCCTTGGAAATATTTTTTATGGTTACAGAATTGAGAAAATTATGGATATTCTACTCTGGGTTATGGAAGTGTACATTTCTTTTTTCTGGGAATGGGAGAGAAAAGAAAGAAACATTTCTGTTGACAAAACCGTTGACTGAGTTAGCCTTAAAATATATGTATATTTTGACTGGATGGTTGGACTTGTACCCTTCTTTCTTAGGAACACTTGGTTAGGCTTTGCAAAAAAATTTCCCCAAAAAATTACCTGACCATCTAGTTTATGTAGTCATCTGGGTGAAATTTCTTTGCAAGGATAGACAAATTCGAAATCCAGCCTTCGTTTCAATTACATTGGTAAGGGAATGCGTCGTCTGTACAAAGTCGGCATGGTGTAATTCAAAAGGTTTCGAGGTCATAGTTTGGCTGTGAAAGAGAAGGGGTTACTTTGTGTGCTTTTAGTTGTTACACCTACTTCTCTCTTCTGCTTCTTTTGGGTTTTTACGATTTCCCTATTTCGATTTGAATAGGTCCTGGTAACCGGTTCCTTGCATCTTGTTGGTGATGTCTTAAGATTAATCAAGAAATGAGGTTGAACCTCCCTTTGTGCTCCTACCTGGCAACAGCCCTTGCTTCATTGTCCTTTCCAAGTGAGGCAACTTCTCCATGCTGTCTGTGTTGCCAAATCTCTCACTTTCTGAGCTTTCTCGGTTTTAGGTTTACACGTTCGGTTAACGAAATCCGGAATTGGCTTGTGCAAATGCAGCATTGTTTCTGTAACAAGTTGAGACAAGAAAATGCAACAAAACATTGCAATTCATTTTTAATGACAATTACATGTAATCTTTTTCCCCTTTTTACCCAAAAGACAGTTCCTTGAATTTTTTTTTTTTCACTCACTTGAGCTACCACAATGAAAGTAAGATCTGGATTTGGATAATGATGATAGCTAAAACATTTATATTAATATTCTTGTTATCAAAAAAATATATGAATGTATTGGCATATTGTTTAAAAAATATGATTCAATTATTCATAATAAAGATCATAATGTATAAACATAATATAGCATTGAACAAATTATCAATCAAATTGCATTGTATATTTGTAATTAACATTAATTTAATATTTTTGTTTTTATTCATTAGAATCATATCATTATTGTTGTAATTTTTTATTAATATTATTTATTTAATCAATCACAGAATTATTTTTATTATTATATGAATTATGCCTAAAACACCACCTATGAAATACTTGGATAATGGGTTTGGACCGGATCGATTGGCTCCTCCCACTTCATGATATAAAACAGTTCTTTCGTCTTTTGGTTTTTTATATTTAAAGCTAACAAAGGAATCCCTAATTTGTCATTTTAACTCCCTTCTTTCTCTCTCACCCAGCCGCCTGTGTCTTGTCAACTTAGGTAACTATACGTACCCAGCTACAGCTAATACGTTTAGAAATTAGGAAAGTTGTGCAGAAAAAGAAGACTACTTTGAATCAGCAGCAGAAATGGCAGAGACTATTGTGTCCTTAGCTATTGAAAGAATATCGGATTTACTCATTCATGAAGCTGTTTACCTGCGTGTAGTTCGTGAGGAAGTGCAGCGCTTAAAGGCTGACCTAGAGAGGATGAAGAGCTCCTTGAAGGTTGCGGACAATAAGCAAGATCAAAATGAGCTTACCTGCACTTTGGTGAGACAAATCAGAGATCTTGCTTATGAAGCAGACGATGTAATTGACGCCTTCATTCTTCAGGTCACACATCAAGGGGGCTTTCATGGAATCATCAGGAGATTCACCAAGCCTTTTCATCTGCACAAAATCGGGGTGAAGGTCAATGCAATCCAGACTAAGCTTGAAGACATCTCTAAGAGTCTTCCAGCTTATGATCAGATATGTGGAAGAGAGGGGTCTAGCTCTATTTCCGAGATGCAGCAGCGGTTAAGGAGAACTTATTCACATGTTATGGAAGAGGATGTTGTTAGCTTGGAGGGTATCACAAATGAGGTTCTGGCTCAGCTGATGACAGAAGAAGATAGACTTCATGTGCTTGTTTCAATAGTCGGCATGGGGGGAATCGGTAAGACCACTCTTGCTAAAAAAGTATATAATCACATTGATGTGAAAGGACATTTTGATTGTTTTGCTTGGACTTTTATATCTCGACAACGTAGGCCAGGAGATGTTTTGCATGATCTCCTGATAAAACTTCTATGTCCTTCTACACAAGAAAGAGAGCTAATTGATAAACTGAAAGAGAATGAGTTGATCAAAAGGTGTTATGATGTCTTGAAAGAAAAACATTTCTTGATAGTCCTCGATGATATCTGGAGAAGCGAGGATTGGAATAGTCTTAAATCTGCTTTTCCACGAGGAAAAAAGGGAAGTAAAATTTTATGCACAACACGCAACAGGGATGTGGCGTTACTTGCCGATCCTTGCAACTCCCCAATAGAGCTTCCATTTCTTACAGAAAATGGAAGTTGGAAGCCTTTTAGAATGAAAACATTCCCAGGCAACAAGATAGAGTCTCATGCTTGCTCAGAAGAATTGGAGATGCTAGGAAGAGAGATGGTGAAAAAATGTGGAGGTTTACCTCTGGTCGTTGCTGCGTTAGGAGGTTTGTTGGCAACAAAAAAGTCACAGGCTCAGTGTGAGATGGTTCACCGAAACATCAATGCACACTTAAATAAGTTTCAAGGACAAGATCATCATTAAGGTGCAGTAAATGAGATTTTGGCTTTAAGCTACAATGAGTTGCCCTTTCATTTAAAACCATGCTTTTTATATCTTGGTCATTATCCAGAAGATTGGGAGATCTCCAAAAAGGAACTCATTCGATTATGGATTGCTGAAAGTTTCATTTCACCATCATGGGAAAGTGAGGGAATATTGATGGAAGATGTCGCTGAACAATTCCTAGAAGAACTAATAAATAGATGTTTGGTTCAAGTTGGCAAGAGGGACTATATGGGAATAGGTGTGAAAACATGTTGCATACATGATCTCTTGAGGGACTTGGTGCGTGCGAAAAGCTCAAGAGGAGAATTTCTTGGGAATTATTCAACCCCCAATTAGTGAAGACAATGGTAATTCTCTTCACGTGATCTTGACAGTATCTATGGCATGAAGAATTGCTATTTATCCTAGCAAAAGGTATGTTTCTTTGAAAGGAAAACATCCAAACTTACATCCTCTTTTGCTCTTTCAGAATGAGGAAATGGTTAAATTGCCAATTTCCAAATGCAATGACTTCAAATTTTTAAGGGTCTTGAATCTTATGAAAAGGGATATGATGAAGTGGCATGTGTCAAATGAAATTGGTAATCTACATCATTTGAGGTATTTGGGGTTAGAATGCTCAAGAAGGATCATCTTGGCATAGTCTATTGGCAAATTGAAGAGTTTACACACTTTATACCTCCGAAATCAAGCATTAACAAGAATTCCTAATGTTCTATTCTAGTTGAAACGTTTAAGGCATATTATAGTGCAAAATTACAATGGTTGGGAGGGAGTACATAAGTGTTTGCTGTCAAGTACTGCTTTAAAAAGTATTGAAACTTTAAAGTACATACGGGTTGAGACTTTGAATGAAAATAGTGCGGTGCTCAGCTTGACTAATGTTAAGAATTTGGGAATAATTTTTGAGAGATCAAAAGATGTCGAGCCTATCCTGAAAGCACTGATCGAATCACACCACCTTTGCCCATTGCGCATGTCATTACAGGATTCTATCCCATTCCCAGATTTGGAACCCCTTTCTCAGTGCCATCACTTATCAAAACTATCCTCAAGAGGGATGATACAAGAAGATCCGCATTCAAGCCATCATGTTTTGAAATTTCTGCCAGCAAACATTACCAAGTTAACTTTGTCGTCATGTATGATGAACCAGGATCCAATGGCTGTATTGGGAAAGTTGCCTCATCTGAGGACTCTTCGCTTATGGTATAAATCATATACGGGGAGTCAAATGGTTTGCTCTGCAAATGAGTTTTTTCAACTTGATTTTCTTTACATCGGAGGTCTAAAAGAATTAGAAGAGTGGTAGATAGAAGAAGGTGCAATGCCACGTCTCCGGCGTTTACGAATGCATGATGTGGAAAATTTGAGGACTTTTCTAGAAGGGTTGAGGTATATTTTTGCTCTCCAAGAATTGGAATTAATCTGAATGAGGCAGTCATTGGTAGAGAGGATTCAAGTGATAGACGGAAGAGGAGGAAAAGATTTCTCTAAAGTGTGCCACATACCCTCCATCCAAGTAATTGATACATTAGATGACTGTAAACTCTAATTTTGTAATGTCAAATCCTCAGCTCGAAGTAGTTGCAGGCGAGTTAGATATTTTTATGATCTTTTTTGTTCTTCGTTTGGGTCTATGCATTTCATAAGAGATGATGCCATCTTCTTCTTGGTGTAGGTAATCTAATTGCACTGTAATGCACTCCTACTAATAAGAGTAACAAGGGAATCACCGCGATTTGCTTTTCGATTATTTGAAGGTATAATTTGTTTTTCTTTTCTTGATAACTGAGTCTGATGATCAAGTGATTTTCAAAAATGAATTATACGAGCTTGAATGATCAAGTGATTTTTGTCTTGTTTATTGTATTAGCTTTGAGATGAATTAATGTATCAGTCTTTTTGCAATGATGTTTAGCTTTGAATATAATTTTTTTTTAATTTTTTGAAAAGTGTTCAAGTAAGATTTCACGACTAGAATTAATATGGTTACAAAAAAACTACCCTTTGTGGTAGTAGTGCAGGTTAGCTCATTGCAGGACAGTCCCCTGCCGCGATTTTCCCTGCGTATAGAGAAAGAAATAAAAAAACAATTGGGTTGCCAATGGGATCAAGCATAAACCCTATGTATCTTTAAATGTAAATCGTATTATTTTTACAAAAGAAATTAATAAATTCAGCAATGATATATAATAATTATTAATTATGCTATAGTTTTTCTTTTCTTTGACTTTAACCCAATTGGCTGTTTTTCTTCTAGGTTGGTGCATTATTAATAACTTGAACATAAATTAACAAAACCATTGTTAAAGGGGAAGATACGAGAAGATCCACATTGGAGCTATCATCTTTTGTAATTTCTACCAAGAAACGTTGCCAAGTTATTTTTGTGGTGCTGTGAGATGAACCAGGATCCAATGGCTATACTGGAAAAGCTGTCACATGCCTTCCTTCCAAATAATGAATACCCTGGAAGACTGAAAACTCTTATGTTGCAATGTCAAATTCTCAACTTAAAGTAGTTGTGGGTGAGTTAGATATTTCTTTGATAATCTTTTTTTGTTTTGATTTGGGTCTATCCTTTTCATAAGAGATCATGCCATTTTCTTCTTGGTGTAGGTAAATCTAATCGGCCAAGAAATGTATTCTTGGAGATATGATTTGAGATATAATTTGACATTCTGAGTTGGATTTATACCCGAAAAACAAGGTGTTTATCTCATGTGTTTATAGAATAATAGATAGTGGAGACCACGTACAAAAAATAAATCTCTCAAGATTGGGATTTTAGGGTTTTGGGGGAGTATACATTGATGGGTTCCTAATGATTCCTATCTTAATAATAGATTTGGGGTCAAGGAATTGATCAAGCAATAGCCAAAATAGTTCCAAAGAATAGCAAAGGGAAAAGTTGATGGAGACAGATATTGGTTGTGATAAGCCTTGGAGAGTGTAGGGATGATCAATTGCATCAAGGAATAAATTGAAACTTTTCAAAGCTTTGCGGAACTTTTGAAACTTATAAGACAAGGTACAAAGGGTATGAAAATAATTAGGTAAAACTTGGTAGAATGATTGGTTTTTTTTTTTCCCCTTATTAGAGATGTCATTTTCTCATTTGATATTAAGGATACACTTGTTTAGGTACTACAAGATTCACGTTTTCATAAGAGATCATGTCATTTGCTGCCAATGACGTTCATAGAATCTGTTCTATCAACCAAGGACCAAGTTTTGTTTTTGTCAATCACACTTAGCTCCTCCTCCATGGCAGCCTACCAGTGAGCTAATTCTTTGGCTTCTGAGTAACTTGTAGGATTTGTAATGGCCATACTGCATTTGTCATGGATGCTTTCTAGAGTCTTGGTGCCCTTGACAGTAAATTCTTCATCATTAGGATCTTTAAAAGGTTCTTGAACCAATTTTGGTAATGTCCTTGGACCAAGCACCCTGTCATTTGAAGCCTCATTTTTGCCAAGTTATTCTTGAGATCAATTTGAATTTTTTTCCTTGATAATTGAATCTAATGACCAAGTGCGTTTTAGAAATGAATTACTGTGAGTTTGAATGAACCGATTGTTATTCTGTAGGCTTCAATTTAATCCTTATGTTGGTGCAGAGGATAACAAATAATATAATTTCATTCTATCTTATTTTTGCAACCTTTCTCTTCTAAATTATTTGCTTATCCAAAGAAAAAGAAAGAGGCAACTTGTGTATGGTATTCCAGGCAGGACTTCCACATTGTTTTGTGTTATTGAAGCTTTGGGGTTTCGCCTAGTTTGTGTTGCAATTAAAGTAAATCCAAAGACAATTGAAAAAGATGGAAGAAATCAATGTTTCCCATATTTATAATTAATTATGCATTCAATCATTGTTAGGTTTTGGTAATTACTGCTTTCAGACAATCTTTAGGATTATTATATTAAATAATTTATTTTTTTAATGAATTAAATTTCATATCATTAACAGTAAACTATCAATCAATTTTATTTATTGTACACTGAACTTTATTTTTTTTGCGGAAATCTACATTGAACGTTATTCATATCATTAATTTTATTGATTGCATTTGAATTACAATATATTTATTGTACCTATCTAAGATTCCTTATCTAGGTAGCTCTTACAATTTTTTTTTTTTAAGAAATACTTTTCATTATGATCTTTCTTTGTAATATGGGATTCAATTCCCACTTCCAATTTTGATAAAAATGTAGGAAAAGTCACAATTTCAATTTCTTTTCCATAATAATTGACAAATGGTAATATGGTTAATGACCCAAAATATGAATTTAACCATAAAAAGGAGAAAAGCTCAAGATAAGGGACATCCAATTTGTCAATTGACATGGCCAAAATGTTCTGACATCCCAATTTCTTATATAATAGAAAAATAAAAAAAAATCTGATTCGATTATCAGTTCTCATTTTAATTCTGAAATAGAAAACCAATGAAATTTTCTAACCCAAAGAATACGTTACAACTTGTAGCTTGGAAAGACTGTGCTTGACTTGTGACTCATATGACCAAATTCTACAATAAAAAAAAAAAGGAAAAATCTTCTTCTGATTCGATTAGCAATTGTCATTAAATGTTGAAATAAAAAACGACTGAAAATTTTCTAACCCAAACAATAAGCTACAATTGTAATGATATATGACTTAGAGACATCACTTTCTTTTATTACTAGTTTGTTGCTCGTGATATGCATTCGGGATGGTATTTTTTTTTTCAATTAAGTTGAGAATGCTTTATAAAATAAATATGTAATAGTAATTATATTATTGTAAATATTATTTTACAAAATGTATAACTGTTGTTATTGTAGCCATCATTGTGGTACTTGTGGTGGTGTTTCATTGTAAAAAAAATCTATAAACAGTCTCATGACAAAACAAAATTTTAAATAAAATCTCAAAACTTATAGTAGAATATGTAATAACTCAATTTTTTTTAAAATTTTATCTTTAGCTAGTTGATCTGCATCACTTTCATTAGTTACATTTAACATTGAAAAATAGAATATGTAGTAACTCAATCTCTCTCAAAACCCTATCTTTAGCTAATTGATATGCACCACTTTACATTAATTACACTTAACACTTAAAAAATAGAATATGTAGTAACTCAATTTCTCTCAAAACCTTATTTTAGCGAGTTGATATATATCAATTTACATTAGTTACACTTAACACTGAAAAATTATATGAGTAATAAATAATAAAATAAAAAGAAATTAATTTTTATAAATACTCACTTATAAAAAGTCAAAAAAAAAAAATCTAGAACATGTAAGAGGAGAAAAATCTAATTCAAACTTAGCCTCAAACCTCAAGCTCACACCCAAAAACCCAATCATAAACTAATCCCATTAGACCTCAAGTCCACGTCTCAACAACCACATGTTAAACCAATAACCTTTCAAGTGTCAAGCCAAAAACCATTTGAGACTTTCTTTAAATATAACAAACTTTTTTGATTATTTGTAGTTTTTAATGTCCAATCTACTGTAAAAAGCTTACATAAGATTATCTATTAGCTTAAATAGGGTACTCCCATGCATGTAAGTGTTTTTTTTTTTTATATAGTCAAGTTGATTTAATGATTTAAAGTTGTATAATCAATTATGTGCTTATTTGCTGATGATGAAACAAAAGAGTGTAACTATACAAATTATAGTATTTTTTTTTTACTACTCATTTTTCTCTTAACCTTTTTCTATTGTATATAAATTTTAGATGATAAGATAGACTTGAAATAAGATATTCTTGTAATGTCAAATTTTATATGTGTTTAAGAAAAAAACATATTTTTTAATTGTTGAATGAAGTAAAAATTTTTGAAAATACTCAGTTTGAAAAATTTATGAGATTCGTGTAATGACTATCATTAAAAAAATACTGATATGTAAGCAAGCTCGATTTTTGGATTTAATTGATTTTCATTTATTAAGTTGTTAAGAATTATTTTTATATTATTAATAAATTTATGAAATAAGATTGACATCAAATAGTTAAATCAATATAAATATCATTTCACATATAAGTGAACCTTTCGCATAGATGTTGGATTTGGACTTTATGGTTTATTTCCTCTTTCAAGCAATATCATTGCAAGTGTCCCTTTTGGAGTTTTCTTTAAATATAGTTATAGATGTTGGAAATCATAGCTAATTAAATAAAAAATATTAATGTTTGGTGTTCTATTTTGAGCATGAAATGTGAAGATTTGATCTGTGAAACTCCTAAGAATTCTCAGCATGTTTCATTATCTTGGGAAGTTTGCCGGTGACATGCCAGAGCATAGATGGCTGTAAGCCAAGTGTCAGGCAAGGAAGCCCCATAGATTTAAAACTTAGCAACTCGAAAAGACTGTGGTTGACTTGATCAAATTCTGCCATGTAACCCTAAAAGCAAATTTAAATTACACTCTTATCAATTCAATTGTTTTTAATTAAATCCATATTTTACTCTATGTCTTTTAATTTTTTTATCTAATTAAAAATAATATATGCTTTCCCCCTATCATTTATTTTATTCACGAATGACTGAAAAATAGAAAGAAACTTATTAGATTTAATTTAAATTTTCGGTTCTTTTAACAATTTTTACCTAAAAAAAAAAACTTATTAGGTCCTTGCATTTATAACTAAAAACAAGTGGTTGAGCTGCCGATATTGACAATGTGTACTTGAAACGTCTACCTTAGGCAACTTGTGTATGGTATTCAAAGTCTGGGCTTCCACATTGTTTTGAGTTATTGAAGCTTTTGGGTTTGTGCTGCTGATTTGACAAAAGAAACACAGAATAAATATTTTATAATACGATAATGCATAATTGATAAGGGTAAATATCATTAAATGAACAATTAAGGATTTAAATAAACATTAAATGCTTAAGATTTGGTACTAATAACAAAAAATTTACTGGACATATATATATATCTTCTTGAACTTGGAACATGCTTCGTGTTAGCTTCCTCTAGATTTAATCCCAGCTTGACAAAAACAGTAATCATTTTATTAAATCTTCTATGCATTGATTTTTTTTTTATTTTTAGTTTTTAAAAGATGTGGGTGTCGTTCATAATATAATAAATCTTTTATGATATGATAATACGATAACATGAATAATAATAAAAAATAATATAATTAAAAAATATATTAAATTTTTACCCACATGGTTAATTTCTTACATTATGTTTTCTCACTCTTTGACCAGTGCATATTTGCAGGTTACAAATGGTAAAAATTCAAAAGCAATTTTGGTTGCTATCTCCATTCCGGGCTCACGGCTCAGATTAAATCACAAATGGTAATTTAGTATTGGACTTTCTTAAAACAGAGTAATTCTCTATTCGATAATTATCCTCAGGGTGGGAATATTAATCCACCGACAGTGCAAGTTGGGATTGAATTCAATAATAACTAGTGGACAAGAAAGTAAGGAAAGAGATTCCTCCTCCGTTTGCTTTTCTTGTCCAATGTCAAATAAACAGCACGCTTTCACACCTTTTGATACAGAGAAGTAGAAAAATGGAAACCCAAAAAGGAGAATGAGAAAAGAATATCAATTTAGTCAAGTATAGCTACCAGCTAAAGCTAATGCATGTACAAGAACAGGCGGATCAGTTGAAATCTTGAAAAAAGAGAGTAATTTGATCAGCCAGAGAAATGGCAGATGCTATTGTGTCCTTAGCTATTAAAGAATCGGATTTACTCATTCGTGAAGCTGTTTTCCTGCGTGGAGTTCGTGAGGAAGTGGAGGGCCTCAAGGCTGAACTGGAGCGGATGAAGACCTCCTTGGAGGATGCAGACAGTAGGCAAGATCAAAATAAGCTTAGCCGCACTTTGGTGAGACAAATCAGAGATCTTGCTTATGAAGCAGAAGATGTTATTGACGGTTTCATTCTTCAAGTCTCACATCAAGGAGGCTTTCACGGAATCATCAAGAGATTCACCAAGCCTTTTCATCTGCACAAAATCGGGGTGAAGGTCAAAGCAATCCAGACCAAGCTCGAAAGCATTTCCAAGAGTCTTCCAGCTTATGATCGGATATCTGGAACAGAGGGGTCTAGCTCTGTTTTCGAGATGCAGCAACGGTTTAGGAGAACATATACACATGTTGAGGAAGAGGATGTGGTTAGCTTGGAGGATACCACGAAAGAGGTTTTGGCTCAGTTGATGACAGAAGAAGATAGACTTCATGCCGTTGTTTCTATAGTCGGCATGGGGGGCATAGGTAAGACCACTCTGGCAAAAAAGGTTTATAAGCACGATGATGTGAAAGGATATTTTGATTGTTGTGCTTGGGCTTTTATATCTCAACAATGTATGCCAAGAGAAGTTTGCCATGATCTCCTCTTACAACTTCTCTCTCCTTCTAAAGAAGAAAGGGAGCTAATCGATAAACTGAAAGAGAATGAGTTGGTGAAAAGGCTTTATGATGTCTTGAAAGAAAAACGGTATTTGGTGGTTCTTGATGATATCTGGAGAAGTGAAGATTGGGACAATTTTAAACCAGCTTTTCCACGAGGGAAAAAAGGGAGCAAAATTTTATTTACAACACGCCACAAGGAATTGGCATTACATGCCGATCCTTGCAACTCCCCAGTTGAGGTTCAATTTCTTACCGATGATGAAGGCTGGAAGCTTTTTAAAATGAAAGCATTCCCAGGAAAGAAGACAGAGTTTCATGCTTGCCCAGAAGAATTGGAGATGCTAGGAAGAGAGATGGTGAAAAAATGTGGAGGTTTACCTTTGGCAATTGCTGTTTTAGGAGGCTTGCTAGCAACAAAAAAGTCACCAGCCCAGTGGGAGATGGTTCACAGAAACATTAATGCACACTTAAACAAGTTCCAACAAGAAGATCATCGCTATGGTGGAGTGAATGGGATTTTGGCTCTAAGTTATAATGAGTTACCCTTTCATTTAAAACCATGCTTCTTATATTTTGGGCATTATCCAGAAGATTGGGAGATCTCAAAAAGAGAACTGATTCGATTATGGATTGCTGAAGGCTTCATTTCGCCATCATGGAACAGCAGGGAAATGTTGATGGAGGATGTAGCTGAACAATTCCTGGAACAGCTAATAAGTAGATGTTTGGTTCAAGTCGGTAAGAGAGACCATACAGGAACAGGTGTGAAAACATGCCACGTACATGATCTCTTGAGGGACTTGTGTGTGAAAAAAGCTCAAGAGGAGAATTTCTTGGAAATTATTCAGCCATCATTGAACGAAAGCGATGGTAATTCTCGTCATGTGACTTTGACAGCATCTATGGCACGAAGAATTGCTATTCATCCTAGCAAAAGGTATGTTTCATTGAAAGTAAAACATCCAAATTTACGCACTCTTTTGCTCTTTCAAAACGAAGAATTGATAAAATTGCACATTTCAAAATGCAATGATTTCAAATTCTTAAGGGTGCTGAATCTTGCGAGATATGATATGTTGGACAAATGGCATGTGTCAAGTGCAATTGGTAATCTACATCATCTGAGGTATTTGAGGTTAGAATCTGGTGGAGGCATCATCATATTGCCACGGTCTATTGGCAAGTTGAAGAATTTACACACTTTATACTTCCCGGATAATGCACCAAGAATTCCTAATGTTTTATTCAAGTTGAGACACTTAAGGCATATTGTAGCAGGCGGTCGATTTGATTATGTGCCTTTGTTGCTGGGGGATACTTTAAAAAATATTGAAACTCTAAAGTACATAAGGAGCAAGAGTTTAATTGAAAATAATGCGGTGCTCGACTTGACTAATATTGGGAGTTTGGGAATAATGTTTGAGAGATCAAAAGATGTGGAGCCTATCCTAAAAGCACTGATTATATCACGACGCTGTGGGTCATTGCACATGTGGTTAAGGGATTCAATCCCATACCCAGACTTGGAACCCCTTTCTCATTGCCATCACCTATCAAAACTATCGTTAAGAGGGAAGATAAGAGAAGATCCACATTCGAGCCATCATAGTTTGAGATATCTGCCAGCAAACATTGTCAAGTTGACTTTGTGGGATTGTGAAATGAAGCAGGATCCAATGGCTGTATTGGGAAAACTGCCTCGTTTGAGGACTCTCTGCTTATGGGTGTGCTCATATACAGGGACTAAAATAGTTTGCTCTGCCAACGAGTTTCTTCAACTTGATTGTCTTGAAATTTGGGGTTTAAAAGATTTAGAAGAGTGGCAAATAGAAGAAGGCGCAATGCCACGTCTCCGGAGTTTAAAGCTGGACGTGCTTTCAAATTTGAGGAGTTTTCCAGAAGGGTTGAGGTATATTACTGCTCTCCAAGAAATGAAATTATGGGGAATGGAGAGGTCATTGGTAAAGAGGATTCTAGTGATAGATGGAAGAGAAGGAGAGGATTTCTCTAAAGTGCGCCACATACCCTCCATCCAAATAACGGGTATGGAGTAAGATTGAAACCTCTAATTTTGCAATTTCAAATCGTCAAGCCAAAGTAGTTGGAGGTGAGTTAGATATTGATATGATAATCTTTTGTGTTTTGATTTGAATCTATCCTTTTCATAAGAGATGATGCCATTTTCTTCTTGGTGTAGGTAAATCTAATTGGCTCAGTAATGTACCATGCCAATAAGAGCAACATGGGGCATCACCTGGATTTGCTTTTCGATTGTTTGAAAGTTTAATTTGTATTTCTAGAAATGAATTGCTGTGAGTTTGAATGAACCAATTGTTAATTAATTTTAGATTTTCGTGAGTGAAGATTATCCATTTGTTTGTTAGCACTTAAAAGGCAAAAGCTACCCAAAGTTCTGTTTTTCGAATTTGTTCCTATTTTTGCCACTGTCAATGAGACAGCAAGAGGGCTTGGTGAAACTGGAAATTCTAAGAAAGCAGCTGCTTGTCAACTCCTTCTTGTTAGATATAGGATTCCTACCTTATGAGATAACATATAGGAAGAGTCTTTGCTTTTCTGTTTCTTTAATAATCTAAAATGCTGCTTAAATTATGTTAAAAGTTTTTACTATATGAGTACGCAAAATGAGATGACGAAAGGGAAAACAATATAAGCAGAAGGATTCATATAAATTTTATGTAATCTATCGTACAAGTTGAAATAGGGAACTCCATGTACAGAGACAACTCTGTTAGAAATCAGAAGCTTCATTTTTCAATCAACTGAGGAGCATTTCTGTACATGTTTCAAAGGCCAGTCTCTTAGCCTCACATTTGCATACTTGTACTCAAAGTAATTGACGAAGCTGCTGATTTCCTTTCCGGGGAGACTCAAGCCTCTCTCATCAGCTCGGCTTGGTTCTCTAGAATGGAGCTCGTCACAGGGGAAATTTACATAAATTTCATTGCCTTTTTTGTGGAAGTCAAAATTTGTAAAAGATTATTCAATTAACTGTCCTTTGTTAATTGCTACTAATAAAATTTCAATACGAAAGTTCCTCATATCTCCATGAATGGATTTCTGAAATAAACAAATGAAGAGCAACCATCCATCATAACCCAAGCAAACTATATATGAAATCAAAGCAAAATATAGAACTCCTTCATGCATGGATGCCTTCACCATTTGACATTGTACCAAAGGAAACAAATAAATAAAGGTTTTAAATCAATGTTAACACATTTCAGATTAGGTTCCTCCAAAATTTCCTCACGATTTGACAAAAACAGTAATCATTTATATTTAATCTTCCATGTGGGTCATATATTATTGATCTTTTTCTTCCCCTTTTAAAAGGAAGTGGGAGTAGTTAGCTAGCCAGCACTATAATAGCATATGTGAGAAAATTGGTGGAAAAAGAAGGCACAGGGAAAGTAGCTTCTGCTTTTACATTCACCCAAAAGCACTGGGCCCTAACTTTTGACAAAATAGTTTTTAATATTTAATTTAATAGTAAATATATGTATTTTTATTAAAAAAATTAGGTATGAATTAATTCTCTTTTGTTCATGTCAAAAAATCATTTGACAAAAGAAACCCGGAATAAATATTTTATAATGTGATAACGCATAATCTCACTTCTTAGTGATATAATATCGGGTAAATATTGTTAAATGAATAATTATTATGAATAATACATTATTAATTTCTTACATTATGATTTCTTATTATTTTTACAACTCTAGGGATAACTAGCTAGGCTCAATAAGATTCATTTCTTTCTTTACGTATTTCGTATTAGAGTTTTGTTTTTTCCTTTTTTTAATCTAATTAAAAATAATATATGATTCTCCCTATCATTTAATTTATTTAGTGTATGAGTGAATAAAAGTGTTTTGCATTTGGTTCGAGTTTTAGGCTCCTTTAACAATTTTTACATCAAAAAGAGAAACTTATTCGGTTTGTCTATTTGTTTGTGACTAATATTTTTGACCATATTATTGATATTTATTTAATCTTCTAAGTCGGCCATATTATTGATTTTTTTTTAAAAAAAATACAACAATCATGTCCACTAATGGTGTATAAAATAATAATACTTGGAACATGTTTCATGTTAGCTTAGCTTCCTCCAAATTTCCTCTTTGCTTCACAAAAACTAGTATTCTTTTTAATTTAATAATCTATTTTGGCCATATTATTGATTTTTTTTTTAAAAAAAGGGAAGTGGGAGCCGCTTACACTACAATGATGACCCATAATAGTGTATAAAGTAATAATACTTGGAAGATGTTTCATGTTAGCTTCCTCCAAATTTCCTCTCGGTTTCACAAAAGCTAGTATTCTTTTTAATTTAATCTTCTATGTTGACCATAATATTGTTTTTTTTTAAAAAAAAAATGAAATGGGAGTGCCTGCCCACACCACAATCATGATCACTAATGTTGTATAAAATAATAATACTTGGAATATGTTTCATCTTAGCTTAGCTTCCTTCAAATTTCCTATCAGTTACACAGAACACAGTATTCTTTTTTAAAAGAAGTGGGAGTTAGACACACCACACAAAGCATATATGAGAAAGTTAGTGGCAAAGAAATACAAGGAAAAAACCTTTGGCTTTTGCATTAGTTAAAAAAATGTTTAGAGCCCTAACTTTGGTTTTAAGAGTTTTTAGACTCTTTTAACAAGTTGTACACCAAAAAGAGAAAATCATTTAGTTTCATCTTCAATTATTTATTCTAGGTATGAATACTTGGGCAATGAGATTGAAATACTCTATTGGATAGCCTATTAATTAACTATACTCAACTTTAAATCGTTCTTTTTCTTTACTTATTATATAGTTAGTTGGCCATGTCTAATGGAAAATGTAGGAGGTCAGTGGTCAATTAAGCTGGAAGTATATATTTCTTGTTATCTTTGCAACCTTTCTGTTCTAAATTATTTGATTATCCAAAGAAAAAAAAAAGCAGAAGATTAAAGAAAGAGGCAACTTGCGTATGGTATTCAAGGGCAGAACTTCCACAGTGTTTTGTGTAATTGATGCTTTGGGTTTTTGCTTAGTTTGTGCTGCAATTAAAGTAGATCCAAAGACAATTGAGGTATTCAATGGTACATGGGAATCATAAATATTGATTAAAGTTAATATAATTAATTAGGCACATGCACATGGGAAGCTCCCTATGTGCTCCCCATGTGAGGCAACTTCTCCGTGCTGTCTGTCTCGCCAAAGCTGTCACTTTCTGGGCTTGTTGGTTTAGGTATATATAATTAATTAACGACAGGCAGAGCTACCACGATGAAGGTAAGATTTGGAATTAGATAAAGATAATAAACTAAAATATTTATATTTATTTCTATATCTTAACGTAAATTAATGTTCATCTTGTTAATAAAATATGTTAATATATAAACATATTGTTTAAAAAATTTGATCCAATTTATTCATAATAAAGATCCATTAATAATTATCATTAGTTTAATGTTTTTATTTTTATTCACTATAGTCATATCATTATTGATGTAATTTTTTAATAATATTATTATGTAATAAATTACATAAATATTTTAAATGAATTATACATAACACACCTCCCTGAGATTAATGATTGACAATGTGGGCTTGAAATGTCTATCTTAGGCAACTTGTGTATGGTATTCAAAAGTCAGGGCTTCCGCATTGTTTTGAGTTATCGAAGCTTTTGGGTTTGTGCTGCTGATTTGACAAACAGAATAAATATTTTATAATACGATAATGCATAATTGATAAGAGTAAATATCATTAAATGAACAATTAAGGATTTAAATAAACATTAAATGCTTAAGATTTGGTACTAATAACAAAAAATTTACTGGTCATATGTATATATATCTTCTTGAACTCGGAACAAGCTTCATGTTAGCTTCCTCTAGATTTAATCTCAGCTTGACAAAAACGGTAATCATTTTATTAAATCTTCTATGCATCGATTTTTTTTTTATTTTTAGGTTTTAAAAGATGTGGTTGTATCTCACAAAACAATAAATCTTTCATGATAATATGATAACACGTAAATATCATTTAATGAATAATAATAACAAAAATATATAGTATAATTAAAAAATATATAGTAGGTTTTTACTCACATGGTTAATTTCTTAATCTTTGACAAGTGCCTATTTGCAGGTCACAGATGGTAAAAAAGCTAAAGCAATTTTGCTTGCTATCTCCATTCCGGGCTCATGGCTCAGATTAAATCACTTTATTTAAACACCAATAACAGGTAACTTAGTATTGGACTTTCTTCAAACAGAGTAATTCTCTATTCGATAATTATCCTTAGGGTGGGGATATTAATCCATCGACATTGCAAGTTGGGATTGAATTCAATAACTACTAGTGGACAAGAAAGTAAGGAAAGAGATTCCTCCTTTTGCGTTTCTTGTCCAATGTCTTATAGACAACACGCTTTCACACCTTTTGATACGGAGAAAAAGAAAAATGGAAACCCAAAAAGGAAAATGAGAAAGGAATACCAATTTAGTCAAGTATAGCTACCAGCTAAAGCTAATGCATGTACAAGAAACAGGCGGATCAGTTTGAAATCTTGAAAAAAGAAGAGTAATTTGAATCAGCCAGAGAAATGGCAGATGCTATTGTGTCCTTAGCTATTGAAAGAATATCGGATTTACTCATTCGTGAAGCTGTTTTCCTGCGTGGAGTTCGTGAGGAAGTGGAGGGCCTCAAGGCTGAACTGGAGCGGATGAAGACCTCCTTGGAGGATGCAGACAGTAGGCTAGATAAATAAGCATTACCGCACTTTGGTGAGACAAATCAGAGATCTTGCTTATGAAGCAGAAGTGTTATTGACCTTTCTTCAAGTCGCACATCAAGGAGGCTTTCACGGAATCATCAAGAGATTCACCACCTTTTCATCTGCACAAAATCGGGGTGAAGGTCCAAGCAATCCAGACCAAGCTCGAAAGCATTTCCAAGAGTCTTCCAGCTTATGATCGGATATCTGGAACAGAGGGGTCTAGCTCTGTTTTCGAGATGCAGCACACGGTTTAGGAGAACATATACACATGTTGAGGAAGAGGATGTGGTTAGCTTGGAGGATACCACAAAAGACGTTTTGGCTCAGTTGATGACAGAAGAAGATAGACTTCATGTCGTTGTTTCGATCGTCGCGGCATGGGGGCATAGGTAAGACCACTCTGGCAAAAAAGGTTTATAAGCACGATGATTTGAAAGGACATTTTGATTGTTGTGCTTGGGCTTTTATATCTCAACAATGTATGCCAAGAGAAGTTTTGCATGATCTCCTGATAAAACTTCACTCTCCTTCTGAAAAAGAAAGGGAGTTAATTGATAAAATGAAAGAGAACGAGTTGATGAAAAAGGTTTATGATGTCTTAAAAGAGAAACGATACTTGGTAGTGCTTGATGATATATGGAAAGACGAGCATTGGAATAGTCTTAAACCTGCTTTTCCGCGAGGAAAAAAAGGAAGCAAAATTTTATTCACAACACGTCACAATGACGTGGCGCTGCATGCAGATCCTTGCAACTCCCCGATAAAGCTTCAACTTCTTACAGATGATGAAAGTTGGAAGCTTTTTAGAATGAAAGCATTCCCAAGAAACAAGACAGAGTTTCGTGCTTGCCCAGAAGAATTGGAGATGCTAGGAAGAGAAATGGTAAAAAAATGTGGAGGTTTACCTCTAGCAATTGCTGTGTTGGGAGGCTTGCTAGCAACAAAAAGGTCACGAGCTCAATGGGAGATGGTTCACAAAAATATCAATGCGCACTTAAACAAGTTTCAACAACAAGATCATTGTTATGGTGAAGTGAATGGGATGTTGGCTTTAAGCTACAATGAGTTGCCCTTTCATTTAAAACCATGCTTCCTATATCTTGGTCATTATCCAGAAGATTGGGAGATCTCAAAAAAAGAACTCATTCGATTATGGATTGCTGAAGGTTTCATTTCACCATCATGGGAAAGCAAGGGAATGCTAATGGAGGATGTAGCTGAACAATTCCTGGAACAGCTAATAGATAGATGTTTGGTTCAAGTTGGCCAGAGGGATATTACAGGAACAGGTGTGAAAACATGTCGGATACATGATCTCTTGAGGGACTTGTGCGTGCTAAAAGCTCAAGAGGAGAATTTCTTGGAAATTATTCAACCATCATTGATGGAAAACGATGGTAATTCTTTTCATGTGACCTTGCTAGCATCTATGGCACGAAGAATTGCTATTCATCCTAGCAAAAGGTATGTTTCTTTGAAGGGACAACATCCAAGCTTACGTTCTCTTTTGCTTTTCCAAAACGAAGAATTGATAAAATTGCACATTTCGCAATGCAAAAATTTCAAATTCTTAAGGGTGTTGAATCTTGTGAGAAATGTTGAGATCGAGTGGCATGTGTCAAGTGAAATTGGTAATCTACATCATTTGAGGTATTTGAAGTTAAAATCTTCTGGACTCATCATCTTGCCACAGTCTATTGGCAAGTTGAAGAGTTTACACTCTTTATACCTCCCAGGTGTAGAAACAAGAATTCCTAATATTTTATTCAACTTGAGACGTTTAAGGCATGTTGTACTAGGTGCTTCATTTAGGAGACATGTGCCTTTGCTGCTAAGAGATACTTTAAAAAATATTGAGACTTTAAAGTACATAGGGGTCATGACTTTAATTGAAAATAATGTAGCGCTCGACTTGACTAATATTCGGAGTTTGGGAGTAACTTTTGAGAGATCAAAAGATGTGGAGCCTTTCCTAAAAGCACTGCTCGAATCACACCGCCTTTTGTCATTGTTCATTGAGTTTGTGGATTCAACCGCATGCTCAAACTTGGAACCCCTTTCTCAGTGCCATCACCTCTCTAAACTATACTTAAGAGGAGAGATACAAGAAGATTTGCATTTGAACCATCATGTTTTGAATTTTCTGCCAGCGAACATTGCCAAGTTAACTTTGTTGTTTTGTGAGATGAAGCAAGATCCAATGACTGTATTGGGAAAGCTGTCTCGTTTGAGGACTCTTCGCTTGTATTTTAGATCATATACGGGGACTAAAATGGTTTGCTCTGCCAATGATTTTCCTCAGCTTGATAATCTTTCTATTTGTAATTTATTAGAATTAGAAGAGTGGCAGATAGAAGAAGGCGCAATGCCGGGTCTTCGGAGTTTAAATCTTGTTGCCCTTCATGATTTGAGGATTTTTCCAGAGGGGTTGAGGTATATTACTGCTCTTCAGGAAATGAAAATGAGGGGAATGAAGAGATCTTTGGTAGAGAGGATTCAAATGATAGACGGAAGAGAAGGAGAGGATTTCTCTAAAGTGCGCCACATACCCTCCATCCAAATAAGTGAAACGCTGGAAGATTGAAAACTCTAATTTTGCAATATTAAATCCTCAACTCAAAGTAATTGCAGGTGAGTTAGATATTTCTACAGTAACATTTTTAGTTTTCATTTGGATCTATCATTTTCATAAGAGATGATGCCATATTCTTCCTGCTGTAGGTAAATCTAATCGGTATTGAAGTGCCAATAGGTGGGGACCTGATATATTTGAGGCGAGGATGGATGCCTTATTTGATCACAAAATGCAATTGTGTTAATAGGAGCAACGAGGGGGCACCTTAATTTGCTTTTTGATTATTTGAATGTATGATTTGATTTTTTTTTTCTTCATGTTTAGCTTTGAAATTTATTCTTAGCATTTTGATATAACATAATCAATCTTATCTTTTAAGCATTACATGTTATTTTCTAAGCTTAGTGCTTGCTTCTCCTCAGCTGATCCCCTTTGTTTCTATTTTCTGTTTTCCTTAATTTTCATAATTTGATTGACTAGGTCCTTGTAGAATTGGTTCCTTTATCTATTTATGGGTAATGTTTTGTGATTAATCAAGAGTATCAGTTCATCTTTTCTCTTCATTCCTATTGTGGCAACATCTCTTTGGTATTCAGAACCGGTTGTTGTTGCTGAAGAAACAATCACTTAATTTTCCAAGGATTAAGAGCTGATCTGCTCTTTGGTTTTCAATGGGATGATTTCCTCTTTTGATTGGTGTGGACATTTTTGCTTTGGAGCTGCCATGGTGTCTTTGTGTTGTTGTTTTCGGAGCATCTCCCTGCTTCTGTTCCTCTGTGATGTTGGTTAAGGAAATGTTATGAACCTGGTGGTGTGCTGCTTGTGTTCCTTGTTCATCATGTCTTTGTCTCCTGTGTTTTCTGGTTGAGCTCTTTGGATTTATGCAGGCTAAGCTGTAGAAAGAGTTTATCATAAATAATTGAGAGAGAAAGGCTACCACCAAAACCATGTTGTATATTAGTCTTTTTCAAACATAGTAACTTCGATCGTTGGTGTTGATTTAACATATATATTCTTCTTAATTTAATCTTTTATGTCGGGCATTTTATTGATTTTTTTTTATAAAAAAAGAAGTGGGAGTAGCCCTCACTACAATCATCAATACTTGGAACATGTTTGATGTTAGTTTCCTTCAAAATTCCTCTCGGTTTGACCACAAACAGTATTTTTTTTTATTTAATCTTCTAAGTCGGCCATATTATTGATCTTTTTCTTTTCCCTTTTCAAAAGAAGTGGCATTAGCTCACACTACAATAAGCATATATGAGAAAGTTTGTGGAAAACAAGGTACAAGGGAAAGAGCTTTGGCTTTTGCATTAGTATAAAAAAAATGCTCAAAGCCCTAACTTTTTCGTAAGAATCTTTGGTTCAAATAATAAATATATCTATTTCAAAGAGTGGGATTAGAATTTTATTTTTAAATAGAAAAAATTATTTAACAAAAAAAGGTAAAATAAATCTTTTATGACATGATAACACAATTTAATTTCTTGGTAATATGATAACATGCAAATATTATTTAATGAACAATAATCATGAAAAATACAGTATAATTAAAAAATAAATTATTGTGTCTTTACCGGTAAGGTTAATTTTTTACATTATGTTTTCTCATTCTTTGACAAGAGTAATTTATATCATGAACCTATTTGCAAGTCACAAATTGTAATTTATACATATAGAAGAAACAGGCGGATCAGATTGAAATCCTGGAAAAGAAAAATAACTTGAATCAGCAATAGAAATGGAAGAGGCTATTGTGTTCTTAACTATTGAAAGAATATCGGATTTACTCATTCATGAAGCTGTTCTCCTGCATAAATGAGGATTGGACCTTCTTAAAACAGGGTAATACTCTAAAAAAATAAGTAGTATTCAATGAACTATATCCTTTGCTAATTGCTACTATTGAAATTTCATGACGAAGGTTCCTCATACCTCCATGAATGGATTTCTAAAATGAATAACTGAAGAGGAACCATCATAACATAAAACTCCTTTCGTCATGTATGCCTTCACCATTTGACATAGTAGCAAAGTGAAAAAATAATTAAGGTTTCTCCTGTAATAAACTAACTAAATCGAGATAGAGGATATATATGTCTTCTTTGCTGCCAATTAGTCGAATACTTTTATATGTTTAATGCTTTGTTAATCATCATTAGACCCAATATTGAATACAATATTGTTATACTATTGATGATAGGTATGGATACCTGCCTTATGTCAGTTAATTTGGACAATGTAATTTAAAATATATCCATTAGGTAGGCTGTCCACTACTATCCAACTTTAAAATGTTTTTCTCTTTGCTTTTCGTTGACTATGTCAATTGGAACATGTATGAGGTGGTGCCAATAGTTAAAGAAAACTTTGTATCTTCGCTCAATTAGACATGTCCGTTTCATTTCTTACATTATGTTTTCTCGTTACTCAATTAGAATGGTAGGGATAATTTACCTTAAAAAAAGATTTGGAAATCTGGACACTGCACGGTCAGAAAATTTTATAATTACAACTATTATTGAAGCAAGAAAGAGTTGAATTGAATAAGCCAAATTTGGTCCTTTAAAAAAAATTGTGCAGGCCATATTATATTTGACAAGTCTCCGAAAATAAACTAATTAAATCGAGGTAGCTAACATGTCATTGTCGCTGTCAATTAGTTGAATATTTGACAAGTCGACAGGGTGTAATTCAAAACGTATTGAGGTCATGGCTTAGCTGTAAAGCAAAAGGGGTTGCTTTGTAAGCTTTTAGTGGTTACACCTACTTTTCTTGTCCTTCTCTTGGGTTTTTATGATTTCCTTATTTTGATTGAATAGGTCCTAGTGACTAGCTCCTTGCATCTTGTTGGTGGTGATATGTTGAGATTAATCAAGAAATGAGGTTGAAGCTCCCTTTGTGCTCCTACTTAGCAACAGCTTTTGCTTCATTGGCTTCCAGGTGAGGCACAGCTAATACTGAGATCGTTGAAAAGAGAAGAGTACTTTGAATCAACAGCAGAAATGGAAGAGGCTATTGTGTCCTTAGCTATTGAAAGAATATCCGATTTACTCATTCATGAAGCTTTTTTCTTACTTGGAGTTCGTGAGGAAGTGGAGGGCCTAAAGGCTGAACTGGAGCGGATGAAGAGCTCCTTGAAGGATGCAGACAATAAGAAGCAAGACCAAAATGAGCTTACCCGCACTTTGGTGAGACAAATCAGAGATCTTGCTTATGAAGCAGAAGATGTTGTTGACTCCTTCATTCTTCGAGTCGCACATCAAGGAGGCTTTCATGGAATCATCAAGAGATTCACCAAACCTTTTCATCTTCACAAAATAGGGGTGAAGGTCAAAGCAATCCAGACTAAGCTTGAAGGCCTTTCTAAGGGTTTTCCAGCTTATAATCAGATATCGAGTGGAGAGGGGTCTAGCTCTATTGCCGAGATGCAGCAGCAGTTAAGAAGAACATATACACATGTTGAGGAAGAGGGTGTTGTCAGCTTGGAGGGTATCACAAATGAGGTTCTGGCTCAATTGTTGACAGAAGAAGATAGACTTCATGTCGTTGTTTCGATTGTTGGCATGGGGGGCATTGGTAAGACCACTCTTGCAAAAAAAGTATATAAGCATATTGATGTCAAACGACGTTTTGATTGTTTTTCTTGGGCTTTTATATCTCAACAATGTATGCTAAGACAAGTTTTGCAAGGTCTCCTCATAAAACTTCTCTCTCCTTCTAAAGAAGAAAGGGAGTTAATTGATAAATTGGAAGAGAATGAGTTGATGGAAAAAGTTTATTATTTTTTAAAAGAAAAACGATACTTGGTGGTCTTTGATGATATTTGGAGAAAAGAGCATTGGAATAGTCTTAAACATGCTTTTCCACGAGGAAAAGAGGGAAGCAAAATTTTATTCACAACACGCAACAAGGAAGTGGCGTTACATGCCGATCCTTGCAACTCCCCAATAGAGCTTCAATTTCTTACAAATGATGAGAGTTGGAAGCTTTTTAGAATGAAAGCATTCCCAAGAAAGAAGACAGAGTTACATGCTTGCCCAAAAGATTTGGAGATGCTAGGAAGAGAGATGGTGAAAAAATGTGGAGGTCTGCCTTTGGCAATTGCTACGTTGGGAGGCTTGCTAGCAACAAAAAGGTCTCGAGCTCAATGGGAGACGGTTCACCAAAATATCAATGCACACTTAAACGAGTTTCAACAAGATCATCATTATGGTGGAGTGAATTGGATTTTGGACTTAAGTTACAATGAGTTGCCCTTTCATTTAAAACCATGTTTCCTATATCTTAGCAATTATCCGGAAGATTGGGAGATCTCAAAAAAAGAACTCATTCGATTATGGATTGCAGAAGGTTTCATTTCAGCATCATGGGAAAGTGGGGGAATGTTGATGGAGGATGTAGCTGAACAATTCTTAGAAGAGCTAATAAATAGATGTTTGGTTCAAGTTGGCAAGAGGGACTATACAGGAATAGGTGTGAAAACATGTCACATACATGATCTTTTGAGGGACTTGTGTGTGAGAAAAGCTCGAGAGGAGAATTTCTTAGAAATTATTCGGCCATCATTGATCGAAAACGATGGTAATACTCTTCATGTGACCTTGACACCATCTATGGCACGAAGAATTTCTGTTCATCCTAGCAAAAGGTATGTTTCTTTGAAGGGAAAACATCCAAATTTACGTTCTCTTTTGCTCTTCCAAAATGAGAAATTGATAGAATTGCACATTTCAAAATGCAATGATTTCAAATTCTTAAAGGTGTTGAATCTTGTGAGAAATGATGTGTGGCCCAAGTGGAACGTGTTGAGTGAAATTGGTAATCTACATCATTTGAGGTATTTGAGGTTACAATGTTCAGGACTCATCATCTTGCCACGATCTATTGGCAAGTTGAAGAGTTTACACACTTTCTACCTCCCAAATGAAGCACCAAGAATTCCTGATGTGTTATTCAACTTGAGACGCTTAAGGCATATCGTAGTGGGTGGACTATTTTTTAAACATGTGCATTTGCTGCTAAGAGGTACTTTAAAAAATATTGAAACTCTAAAGTGCATACAAGCCAAGCCTTTAATTGAAAATAAAGTGCTCGACTTGAGTAATATTCGGAGTTTAGGAATAAGTTTTGAAAGATCAAAAGATGTGGAGCCTATCATAAAAGCACTGATTGAATCACAACGCCTTGGGTCATTGTACATGTGGTTGGAGGATTCAATCTCATTTCCAGACATGGAACCCCTTTCTCATTGCCATCACCTATCAAAACTATTCTTAAGGGGGAAGTTACAAGAAGATCCACATTCGAGCCATCATCTTTTGAAATTTCTGCCAGCAAACATTATCAAATTATCTTTGATAAATTGTAAGATAAAGCAGGATCCAATGGCTGTTTTGGGAAAGCTGCCTCATTTGAGGACTCTCTGCTTATTTGCTGATTCATATACGGGGATTAAAATGGTTTGCTTAGCGAATGATTTTCTTGAACTTGATTTTCTTAAAATTTGGAATCTACCAGAATTGGAAGAGTGGCAGATAGAAGATGGCGCAATGCGACATCTTCGGAGATTAATTCTGGGCTGGGTTTCAAATTTGAGGATTCTTCCAGAAGGGTTGAGGTGTATTACTACTCTCCAAGAAATGAAATTAGAGAGAATGAAGAGGTCATTGATACAGAGGATTCAAGTGATAGACGGAAGAGAAGGAGAGGATTTCTTTAAAGTGTGTCACATACCCTCCATCCGAATAATGCATACAGAGAGAGACTGAAAACTCTAATTTTGCAATGTCAAATCCTCAACTCAAAGAGGTTGCAGGTGACTTAGATATTTATATGATTTTTTTTTTTTTTGGTTTTGATTTGGGTCTATTCCTTTTCATAAGAGATGATGCCATTTTCTTCTTGGTGCAGGTAACTCTAATCGGTCCATAAAAGCAGCAAGGGGGATCACCTGGATTTGCCTTTTGATTGTTCGAAAGGTTAATTTGTATTTTTTCCATGATAACTGAATCTAATGATCCAGTGCCTTTTAGAAAGGAATTGTTGTGAATTTGAATGAACTGATTGTTCATTAATTTTAGATATTCACAGGTGAAGATTATCCATTTGTTTGCTAGTACTTAAAGGCAAAAGCTATTGAAAGTTTGTTTTCTGAATTTTATTTCTATGTTCTTTTTGGAGACCTTTTTTGTCTTGTTTATTGTATTAGCTTTAATGTATCAGTCTTTTTTCAATAATATTTAGCACTTTGATATTATATAATCATATTTTTTAAGCTTTACATGTTATTAGTGCTTGCTTGTTGCTTCACTCCTCCCCTCTGCTTCTCATTTCTTTTTTTAACGTAATTTCATCAGTTTGATTGACAAGGTCCTTGTATAACTAGTTCCTTGGCATCCAAATATGGGTGATGTCCTGAGATTAATCAAGAGTATCATTTCCATCTCTTCTCTTGGTTCCTAGTGTGGCAACTTCTTTTTGGTATTCAAGTGTCCTGATTGAACATAAAAAAGAAGTGGGAGAGTAGCCCATGCTACAAATAACTTTGGCCAAAGGGATATTTGAATATTTGATTTAATAGTAAATATGTATGTATTTTTTTGAAAGGTGTATGTACTCTTATTCGAAGAGTAAGATTTGAATTTTCTTTTCTCTAAATAAAGAAAATGCATTGACAATAAAAAACACTAAATAAATTTCTTGTGATGTTATAATACATAATTTCATTTATATATAATATGATAATATGGGTAAAAAACCAAAAAATATTTCATTCTATCTTATTTTTGCAACCTTCTTCTTGATTATTTGCTTATCCAAAGGAAAAAAAAAAGATTAAAGAAAGAGACAACTTGTGTATAGTTCCACATTGTTTTGTGTTATTGAAGCTTTGGGTTTTTGCTTAATTGTGCTGCAATTTAAATAAATCCAAAGAAATTGAAAAAGATGGAAGAAAATTGAGTTATTCAATGCTACAAGGGAATCATAAATATTTGCTAAAGTATATATAAATAATTATGCATTCAATCATTGTTAGGTTTTGGTAATTACTGCTTTAAGACACTCTTTAAGTTTATTATATTAAATAATTTATTTTTGTAAATGTATTAAAATTCATAACATTAACAGTAAACTATCAATCAATTTTATTTATTTTACATTGAACATTATTCAGAGCATTAATTTTGTTTATGGCACCTATCTAAGATTCATTATATAGGCAAGTCTTTCAAATTTTAATTAAGAAATACTTTTTTTTTCTATTTGATTAACAACTCTCCATTATGATCTTTCTTTTTAATATGGGTTTTAATTTCCACTTCCAATTTGATAAAAATGTAGGGAAAATCACAATTTCAATTTCTTTTCCATGACAATTGACAAAGTATAATATAATTAATGACCCAAGATATGAATTTAACCATAAAAAAAATAGAAAAACCCAAGATAAGGGACATCCAATTTGTCAATTGACATGGACAAAATTGAAAACCAAGCATCTAGTGCAAGATTCTCTGGATTATTATCATTTCTAGATGGAGTAGTTGCAAGCAATTCTTTTGGGTAAGCCTCGCTCCTTATGTCAACAAAAAGCTAGATATGTATGTGATTTGTTTGGGATCAAATCTTTGAGCTCAAGTTTAGTTACATGATTCAATCCGTTTCTGAAATCTCAATTTTTTATAATAAAAGAAAAATAAAAAAAGTTCTGATTCAATTATGAATTGAGATTTTAAAGCTGAAAGAAAACCAATAAAAATTTCTAATCCAAAGAATACGTTTCAACTTGTAGCTTGGAAAGATTGTGGTTGACTTAAGACTTATATGATCAAATTCTACCTTCTAGCCCAAAAAACAAGTTTAAATTGCACACTTGTCAAAACAATTGTTTTCAAAAGAATATTTTATAATTAAAAATCAACCAAAAATAGACAAAGGGAAAATTCATTAACTAATAATCAATTAGTAATTGCATAGAAAGTTTTGAATACCAAGAGTCAATTAGACCAGTTTTTATAAAAATTTTTTAATTACATATATACGAAGTTAATGACATCATTGTTATGTCATGAACATTATTTTTTTTACTGTATAGGTTTCCTTTGCCCAAACTAGGTTCTTATACCATGAAAAGTCTTCAACCAATTAAGAAAGAGACTTCGAATGGCACACTGGTTCTTGAGATTAATAAATATATTTTTAAAAAAATATTTTTTTTGACAGATACCCATGGTAGCACCATTGAGTTGTTTGGTCTCAATATCGTTAGGATTTGTTAAAAGAAATTTTTTTTAATAGACCAATTATTTATCATTAAATCAAATACTTAAATTCATCATTTTTCTGTTTGAATAATAATTTTCTGTATCTAATTTATTTCTAATATGGGATTCAATTCTCACTTCCAATTTGATAAAAAAGTAAGAAAAATCCTATGAACGGGGCGAAGGTCAAAGCAATCCAGACTAAGCTTGAAGGCCTTTCTAAGGGTCTTCTAACTTATAATCAAATATCTAGAGGAGAGGGGTCTAGCTCTATTTGCTAGATGCAACAATGGTTAAGAACATATACGCATGCTAAGGAAGAGGATGTTGTTAGCTTGAAGGGTATCACAAATGATGTTTACTAAAGAAGATAGACTTTATGTTGTTGTTTCAATAGTCGGCATGGGGGGCATTGGTAAGATTGCTTTTACGAAAAAAAGTATATAAGCATATTGATGTGAAACGACTTTTTGATTGTTTTGCTTGGGCTTTTATATCTCAACAATACATGCCAAGACAAGGTGTGCATGGTCTCCTCTTAAAACTTCTCTCCCCTTCTAAAGAAAAAAGGGAGTTAATTGATAAACTGGAAGAGAATGAGTTGATGGAAAACGTTTATAGTTTCTTAAAAGAAAAACGATACTTGGTGATCCTTGATGATATCTGGAGAAAAGAGCATCGGAATAGTCTTAAACATGCTTTTCTTCAAGGAAAAAAAGGAATCAAAATTTTATTCACAACACACCACAAGGAAGTGGCGTTACATGCCGATCCTAGCAACTTTCCAATAGACCTTCAATTTCTTACAGATGATGAGAGTTGGAAGCATTTTAGAATGAAAGCATTCCTAAGGAAGAAGACAGAGTTTCATGCTTGTGCAGAAGAATTGGAGATGGTAGGAAGAGAGATGGTGAAAAAAGTTAAGGTCTACCTTTGGCAATTGTTATGTTGGGAGGCTTGCTAGCGACAAAAAGGTCACAAGCTCAATGGGAGATTTGTAATCAAAAGATCAATGCACACTTAAACGAGTTTCAACAGCAAGATCATCATTATGGTGGAGTGAATGGGATTTTGACTTTAAGCTACAATGAGTTGCCTTTTCATTCAAAACCATGCTTCCTACATCTTGATCATTATCCAGAAGATAGGGAGATCTCAAAAAAGGAACTCATTCCATTATGCATTGCAGAAAGTTTCATTTCACCATCATGGGAAACTGGGGGAATGCTGATGGAGGATGTAGCTGAACAATTCCTAGAAGAGCTAATAAATAGATGTTTGGTTCAATGTGGCAAGAGGGATCATATAGGAATAGGTGTGAAAACATGTCACGTGCATGATCTCTTGAGGGACTTGTGTGTGCTAAAAGCTCGAGAGGAGAATTTCATAAAAAGTATTCAGCCATCATTGAACGAAAACAATGGTAATACTCTTCATGTGACCTTGACACCATTTATGGCACGAAGAATTGCTATTCATCCTAGCAGAAGGTATGTTTTTTTGAAGGGAAAACATCCAAATTTACATTCTCTTTTGCTCTTTCAAAACAAAAAATTGATAAAATTGCACATTTCAAAATGCAATGATTTCAACTTCTTTAAGGGTGTTGAATCTTGCAAGAAAGAACATGTTTAAGTGACGTGTGTTGTGTGTATTTGGTAATCTATATCATTTGAGATATTTGAAGTTGCAATGTCTAGGAGGCATCATCTTGCCAAGATCTATTGCCAAGTTGAAGAGTATACACACTTTATACCTCCCAAATGGAGCACCAAGAATTCCTGATGTTTTATTCAAGTTGAGACGCTTAAGACATATTATAGTAAGCATATATCTGCATTTGCCGCTAAGGGGTACTTTAAAAAATATTGAAACTTTAAAGTACATAAGGGGCAAGAGTTTAATTGAAAATAATGTAGAGCTCGACTTGACTAATATTCGGAGTTTAGGAATAAGTTTTGAGAGATCAAAAGATGTGGAGCCTATCCTAAAAGCACTAATTCAATCACAACGCCTTGGGTCATTGTACATGCGGTTAGAGGATTCAATCCCATACCCGGACTTGGATCCCCATGGAGGAGTGTTGAGGAATAATACTTGCATGGTGGCAGCAAGTAGATGTTATTCTGATAACACATTGTCCTCTGTTTTTGATTTAGTTTGCTTTGATATAGTGATAGTTAATATTAAGGCTATATTTGAGCTATCTTTTGATGTGTTGGTTTGCATGTAAGCTAATACTTACACTTGTCAAATATATGTACAGGTGTCTTTATGTAGACAAGGTATATAAACCTTGTTTTTTTTTGTATTAATGATATAATTCTGATCATTATCTCCAGTACATATGCACTGCTCTTTCTCTTTTCATAATATTAACATGGTATCAGAGCATTCTTAGGATCTTGTTGGACCTATAAATATCAAAAATTCTTCTTCCTTCTTTGTTGATTCATCTCTTAACATTTCCAGCATGTCTTCACCTTCAGCTTCTCATGTATCTCCAACTATATTTGATGGCAAAAACTATCAAGTTTAGGCTGTTAAGATGGAGGCTTTTCTTAGAGGTTATGACCTCTGGTCAGCTATTGAAACTGATGAAGAACCTACTGCTTTGAGAGACAATGCAACCATAAATCGGATCAAGCAATATTCTGAAGAAGTAGCAAAGCGATACAAAGCTTTGTCCTTCATTCAAGCTGTTGTGTTTGAGAAGATCTTTAGTAGGATCATGAGTTGCAAAAC